AACAATACAAGTGTCGAACAACGTGTCAAAAATTAGTGTACAAATTGCAAAGTTCAATTGGTATGAACCACGCTACATGTATACTATGGTTTACACTTTAGTTTACACATTGCCACTTGACATTATCCTGTTGGATAGTTTAAATTTCAAACAGTTTTCCCATCCAATTTACACGTGACAACAATGTAAGTTTCAACAACGTGTCAAAAATATATGTACAAATAGCAAAGTTAAATTTGTAAGAACCTTGCTACATGTAGACTATGGTATACACTTTAGTTTACACTTTGCCAAGTGACATTACCCTGTTGGACAGTTTAAATTTCAAATAGTTTTCCCGTTCAATTTACACTTTACAACCCTGCAAGTTTCGAACAATGTGCCGAAAATCATTGTACAAATAGCAATGTTCAATCGATAACGACCTTGTTACATGTACACTACGATGTACACATTTGTTCATACTTTGTCACGTGACATTACCCTATTAGATAGTATAAATTTCAAACAGTTTTTTCATCCAATTGACACTTGACAACAATGCAAGTGTCAAACAATGTCTCCAAAATCAGTGTACAAATAGCAAAGGTCAATCGGTAAGAACGTTGCTAGAAGCACACTATGGTTTACACTTTAGCATACAATTTACCAAGTGACATTATCCTGTTGGATAGTTTTAACTTCAAATAGTCTTCCCATCCAATTGACACTTAACAACAACACAAGTGTCAAACAACGTGTCCAAAATCAGTGCACAAATAGCAAAGTTTAATCGGCAAGGACCTTGCTACATGTACAATATGCAGTGCACTTTAGTTTACACTTTCCCACGTGACATTAACCTATTGGACAGTTTAAATTTCAAATAGCTTTCCCATCCAATTGACACTCAACGACAATGCAAATGTTAAATAACGTGTCAAAAATCAGTATACAAATAGTAAAGTTCAATCGGTATGAACCATGCTACATGTACACTATGGTGTACACTTTAATTTACACTTTACCACGTGACATTACCCTATTGTACAGTTTAAATTTCAAACAGTTTTCTCATCCCATTAACACTTGACAACAATGTAAGTGACAATCAACTTGCCAAAAATCAATGTACAAATTGCAAAGTCTATTGATAAGAACCTTGCTACATGTACACTATGGTGTACACTTTAGTTTACACTTTGCCACGTGACATTATCCTGTTGGATAGTTTAAATTTCAAACAGTTTTCTCATCCAATTAACACTTGGCAACAATGCAAGTGTCAAGCAATGTGTCAAAAATCAGTGTACAATAGTAAAGTTCAATCAGTATGAACCATGCAACATGTACACTATGGTGTACACATCAGTTTACACTTTGCCACGTGACATTACCCTGTTGGACAGTTTAAATTTCAAATAGTTTTCCCATCCAATTGACACTTGAAAGCAACGCAAGTCTCAAACAACGTGTCAAAAATCAGTGTACAAATAGTAAAGTTCAATCGGTAAGAACCTTGCTACATGTATACTATGGTGTACACTTTTGTTTACACTATGCTACGTGACATTACCCTGTTAGACTGTTTAAATTTTAAACAGTTTTCCCATCCAATTGACACTTGACAACAATGCAAGCGTCAAACAAAGTGTCAAAAATCAGTGTACAAATAGCAAAATTCAATCGGTAAGGACCTTGCTACAAGCACACTATGGTGTACACTTTAGTTTACTCATTGCCATGTGACATTACCCCGTTGGACAGTTTAAATTTCAAATAGTTTTTCCATCCAATTGACACTAGATAACAAAGCAAGTGTCAAACAAGGTGTCACAAATCGGAGTACAAATAGCAAAGTTCAATCGGTAAGAACCTTACTACATGTACACTATGGTGTACACTTTAGTTTACACTTTTCTACGTTACATTACCTTGTTAGACAGTTTAAATTTCAAATAGATTTCCCATCCAATTGACACTTGAGAACAATGCAAGTGTCAAACAACGTATCAAAAATTAGTGTACAAATAGCTAAGTTCTATCGGTAAGAACCTTGCAACATGTAAACTACGGTGTACACTTTAGTTTACATTTTATCACGTGACATTACCCCATTAGACAGTATAAATTTCAAACACTTTTCCCATCTAATTGACACTTGACAACAATGCAAGTGTCAATGATGGTGAAAAAAATCAGTGTACAACTAGCAAAGTTCCATCGGTAAGAACCTTGCTACATGTACACTATGGTGTACACTTTAGTTTACACTTTCCCATGGGACATTACCCTGTTGGACAGTTTAAATTTCAAAATTTTTTCCCAACCAATGGCCACTTGACAACAATGCAAGTGTCAAACAACGTGTCAAAAATCAGTGTACAATTGCAAAGTTCAATCGGTATGAACCATGCTACATGTACGCTATGGTGTACACTTTAGTTTACACTTAGCTACGTGACATTACCCTATTGGAAAGTGTAAATTTCAAATAGTTTTTCCATCCAATTAACACTTGATAGCAATGCAAGTGTCAAACAATGTGTCAAAAATCAGTGTACAAATAGCAAAGTTTAATCGGTAAGAACCTTGCTACATGTACACTATGGTGTACACTTTAGTTTACATTTCACCAAGTGACATTACCCTATAGGACAGTTAATATTTCAAACTGTTATCCCGTCCAATTGACACTTGACATCAATCCAAATGTCAAACAACGTGTCAAAAATCAATGCACATATAGCAACGTTCAATCGGTAAGAACTTCGCGACATGTACACTATGGAATACACTTTTGTTTACACTTTGCCACGGGGCATTACCCTATTGGACAGTTTAAATTTCAAACAATTTTCCCATCCAATTGACACTTGACAGTAATGAAAGTGTTAACCAATGTGTTAAAAATCTGTGTACAAATAGCAAAGTTCAATCGGTAAGGACCTTGCTACATGTACACTATGGTATACTCTTTTGTTTACACTTTGGCACATGACATTACCCCATTGGACAGTTTAAATTTCAAACAGTTTTCCTATTCAATTGACACTTTACAACTATGTAAGTGTCAATCAACATGCCAAAAATCATTGTCAAATAGCTGAGTTCAATCAGTAAGAACCTTGCTACATGTAAACTATGGTGTACACTTTAGTTTACACTTTACCACGTGACATTATGTAATGCCCCAAATTCTAATAACCCGAAACGTTACGAAACATGAATATACCTTGAAATAAACAGGTTTAATATAACGAGAAATTCTGTAAAAGATTGAATAACATTTAATCAAAAGATAAATTTAAATATGCGGAACGTTTGAAAACATATCATTCATCCAAAAATTATTAGAACAGTTAAAACTAATTGAAAATTTATAATGCACTCACAATTGGGTCAAAAATGAATAACCCATTATTAGTTCTAGTGTTTTTGAAAATTAAAATACTTCATGACGAGGATCCGTTGGTCCAATAGTAAATCCATCCACCGCCGTCCAGCATACTAATTATTACCTGAAAATTGTAAATAAGGGAATGAGTATAACGAATTATACTCAGTGAGATACTTGCTACTCCACATTCAAGTCAAACATGAAATTACAAATAAATTATCTTACCGACGTAACATGAGAATTATCACACCATGACAAATGATAATTCTAGCAAGCGTTGCAAAATAACGTGAAGGCTAAATTGTGCCTTGAAAATAACGTGAATGCTAAATTGTGCCTTAAAATGTGTCATGATTTCTCCCGAAAGAGCTTGAATTGAAGTAATTAAATTCATAATAATGTATTTGAAAAGATGTGGAAAAATCACTAATAGCACTGAGTATCTCACCTTTTGAAGATGAAAATGGAGAATAAAATTGCAGAAATGTGATTGCAATTCCAAAGCCTTAAAAAATCTAAATAATATAGAGGAATATTTTAAAGAGGGAGAGGTAATGGACGTGTAGTAGAATGTGGTTTTAGTGCTCTATTTATACTGTTGAAGTCGGGTAATCACGTGGGGGAAGTGGAATTTCAGTCATATTTAAATTTGTATTTCATTCAATCTCTGAGAAATTGATTCATAATTCCCAATTGATATAGTTTGACTGGAGATTAATTATTTGTTTTCTGCCAATTTCTATATCAATTACAATTACAACAAGGAAATGATAGGTATTACACTGCATGACTTTTACACGTGGACGGGGAGAACAAATCTGCCTCCTATTTGCATAGTTTACTCTAATTCAAACATCTTAAATTGTCAATCTCCTAATGGCCGAAAATTATAAAATATATGCTTATTAATTAAATTAGAATTTCAGTCCAATCTTTCCAAAATTTGTTCCAATTAGGGGACACAATGATTACTAATTATATGGACACGTGAAAGTTGTAATGAAATGCATGGGTTACTCATGTACTAAAGTCTAACATCAAATAATTCAAATTCCTTTGATTTGCATTTAACTAAATTTGTAAGCAGGAATTACGTTTTAATTGATTACCTCTTAATTAAAAATGTATAATTATTAATACTTAACATAAAGACTTTGTTTAACCAAAACTTAAAATTCTAATTTATTTAGCTAAACTAGTGGTGGCACTCAACTGGCGAAAAATCTAATTCTTTAAAACTCTTATAACCATAATATTCTTTAGACGGCTAAAACTCGGGTTTAACTTGACCAAATTAAAATTTTCTTGAGTCCATAATTCGCCATTTATTATGAGCTTCAAAATGAACCCAATATTGGTAGAGTAATTCTAACTCCTTCAATAGTTAACTATTTGGCCCATTTAATAAAGTATAAAATAATTTGATATTTTTTTTTTTCAATTTGGTCCCTCAACTAATAAGATAACTATAGAGATAATCAATTAACTTGCATAAGAACTTAACCAAACATTGCATTCCTATTAAATGGCAAATAAAAATATATGCGAATTTAAGTTAAAAATTCGGGATTCTACATCCTACCCTCCTTAAAATAATTTCGTCCTCGAAATTTACCTTAGATTAGTTGAAAAGTTCGGGATACTTGATTTTCATCTCATCTTCCTTTTCCCAAGTTGCTTCTTCCACTCCATGGTTACACCATAGGACCTTGATTAAGGGAATATCCCTATTTCTCAGTACATGAACCTTTCTTTCTAGTATCCTCAATGGCATTTCTTCATAGGTCAAATCATGTTGTACATCTAAATTTTGATCGTTGATCACATGATTAGGATCCTGTAAGTATTTTTGCAACATTGATACGTGAAAAACATTATCAACTGCTGAAATTTCTGGTGGCAGTGCCAGTCTATATGCCACATCTCCGATTCTTTCTAACACATCGAATCGTCCAATGAATCTTGGTCTTAATTTTCCTTTCTTTCCAAATCTAAGTACTCCCTTCATTGGAGCTACTTTCAGAAATACCTTGTGATGAACTTGGAACTTGAGATCTTTTCTTCTTCTATCGGCATAGCTTTTCTGTCTGTCTTGAGCAACCTTAATTCTGTCTCGAATCTTTTCCACGGCCTGTACGGTTCGATCTATGATCTCAGGTCCAAGAATCCTCCTTTCTCCAATCTCATCCTAGTAGATAGGTGATCTACACTTCCTACCGTATAGTGCCTCGTAAGGTGCCATGCCTATAGTTGCTTGAAAGCTATGTTATAGGCAAATTCTACTAAAGGCAAGTGTGATTCCCAGCTACCACCAAGATCTAGCACACAAGCTCTTAACATATCTTCAAGTATCTGAATTGTCCTTTCGGATTGTCCATCAGTCTGTGGGTGATATGCAGTACTAAATTTCAGTTTTGTTCCCATAGCATTTTGTAGGCTTTTCCAAAATTTTGACGTGAATCTCGAGTCTCTATCTAAAATAATAGAAATAGGAACCCCGTGTAACCTGACTATTTCATTGACATAAATCTGTGCATATTGCTCCATGGTAAATGTTATCTAAACTGGAAGAAAATGGGCTGACTTTGTAAGACGATCCACTATTACCCAGATAGCGTTGTTCCCTTTAGCCGATCTCGGAAGTCCTACCACGAAATCCATGGCAATGTGTTCCCATTTCCACTCCGGTATATCTAGTGGTCTAAGTAACCCTGAAGGTCTCTGATGTTCAGCTTTTACTTGCTGACAGATGATACATTTACTTACAAAAAGTCCTATTTCTCTTTTCATATTTCTCCACCAAAACGTATTTTGAAGGTCTCGATACATTTTTGTACTTCCTGGATGTGCTGTATAAGCGGTAGAGTGTGCTTCTTCAAGAATTTCTTTCCTTAATCCCTTATCTTTAGGAAAACATATTCTGCCTTTATACATAAGTATCTTATCATCAGTTATCGCAAATCCCTCTTGCTTATCTGTCCCAATTCCAGCCATGATTTTACACAAAAATAGGTCATCCTTTTGAGCTTCTCTAATCCGTTCTCTAAGAGTTGGTTGAACCATTAGAGCCGCAACAATGGCTGACTTCTGTACCGAAGGTATAACCACCTCTAGCCTCAAATTTTCAAATTCCTTAGCTAACTCTTTTTGAGTAGTTGGAAATGTCAACTTTCCAGCTGTCTTTCTACTCAGAGCATCACCAACTACGTTAGCTTTACCTGGGTGGTAAAGAATGGTTCAGTCATAGTCTTTAACCAACTCTAGCCATCTCCTTTGTCCCATGTTTAGCTCCTTTTGAGTAAAGAAGTACTTGAGACTTTTGTGATCGGTGTATAACTCACATTTACCGTCATATAGATAGTGATGCCATATTTTTAGTGCGTGAACTACTGCTGCGAGTTCTAAGTCATGAGTTGGGTAACTCTGCTCATATGGTTTCAACTGTCTAGAGGCATAGGCAATGACCTTTCCATGTTGCATTAACACACATCCCAAACCTTGTTTAGAAGCATCGCTGTATATAACAAAACCTTCGGAATCATCTGGTATTGTTAATACTGGTGCTGAAACCAATCTTTGCTTCAATTCTTGAAAACTACTTTAACACTTATCCGACCATTGAAACTTTACTCCCTTTCTAGTTAATTGTGTCAGTGTTCTAGCTATCTTAGAAAATCCTTCAATAAATCTCCGGTAATAGCCAGCTAGACCCAAGAAACTACGAACTTCGCCTACATTGGTCGGTCTAGACCAATTTGTTATAGCTTCAACTTTAGCTGGGTCTACCTCAATTCCTTGCGCAGTAACCACATGACCAAGAAAGTCAATACGATCTAGCCAGAATTCACATTTTTTGAATTTGGCGTACAACTTCTCTTTTCGAAGCGTATTTAATACCACTCTCAATTGCTCTTCACGTTGTTGCTTATCCTTTGAGTATACCAGTATATCGTCGATGAAGACTATAACGAATCAATCAAGGTATTGATGAAAAACACGATTCATTAAGTCCATAAACACAGCTGGTGCATTGGTTAACCCAAATGGCATCACTGTGAACTCATGGTGCCCGTACGACGTTCTAAAAGCTGTTTTTGGGATGTCACAATCCTTTATCTTAAGTTGGTGATAACCTGATCTCAAATCTATTTTTAAGAACACTGTTGTACCCTTCAATTGATCAAAAAGGTCATCTATCCTTGGGAGTGGATATTTGTTCTTTATAGTCAAATGATTAATATCTCTATAATCAATACACATCCTCATTGACCCATCTTTCTTTTTAACAAACAATACCGGCGCTCCCCATGGGGATACACTAGGTCGGATGAAACCCTTATCCAATAATTCTTGTAGTTGTGCCTTCAACTCCTGTAATTCTTTTGGTGCGATTCTATAAGGAGCCTTAGATATTGGTGTTGCCCTAGGGGTCAAGTCAATTGTGAACTCTACTTGCCTATCAGGCAGTATACCAGGGAGATCTTCAGGAAAACATCCACGAACTCATTTACTACAGGTACATCTTCTATTTTCCTTTCGGACTGGGGTTTACTATTTATATTCAATAAAAATCCTCGACACGTATTCTTCCTCAACATCTTTTCTGCTTTCATTGCAGATATCAATCGGGTAGAGTCCTAATTCTTGCTCCAAGGAATCGAAATTTTTCTTCTCCAAGTTTTTGAAATAAGACTTCATTCTTATGGCATACGATAGTTGCATAGTTTCTACCCAACCAGTCCATACCCAAAATTACATCAAAGTCTTTCATTCCCAAGATGTACAAATCTGCCTTTAGTACTTTTCCTTCAATCTCTAACTTAACACCTTTAATCATTTGATCAGTATTAATGACTTCGCTCGAGGGTGTACTAACTTCTAGAATGTTATTTGTTTCTACGCATTTACTTCCAATCTTATCCATAAAAATTGTAGAAATAAATGAATGAGTCGATCCAGAATCCATAAGAACAATAGCAGGTATGTCGAATACTGGTAACATACCTGTTATTATGTCTGTGTTCTGATCCTCATTTTCTCCCATCAAAGCAAATACCCTGGCCTTTCCCTTCTTAAGATGGTCACCTTCTTTCTTCTTCTTTGGACATTCTCTAAGGAAATGGCCACTTTTACCACAAATGTAGCATAATCCCTTTCCTTGAAGACATTCTCCCAAGTGTCGCTTGTTGCATTTGGAGCATTGAGGAAAAGTTTAGTTTGAGCTTGACCAAATCTTTACTTTCTGATTCTGATTCTTGTTTTTGTCGTGACCTTGCCACTTTCTCTTTACAGAAGTCTCGGTGTTGGGTTGAGGTTTCTTTTCCAATCCTAAACCATTAGAAATTGCTTGTGCTCGACGTACAACTTCCGCATAAGTAGTATGTTGCTGGGCTGCCATGATTCCCTTAATCTCTGGCTTTAACCCCATTTCAAACCTTTTAGTCTTCGTCAGCTAAGTGTTTACCATGTGTGGAGCATATCTAGAAAGTTGTTCAAATTTTCTTTCATACTCCCCAAGTGGCAAATTTCCTTGCGTGAGTTGGAGAAATTCTACCTCCTTTTGATCCCTCAATGGCTGGGGAAAATATTTACCCATCAACGACTCCTTGAATTGACCCCAAGTGAGATTACATAGTTGTTCTGCAGTTTTAGTACGTGTTTCAGAATCCCACCAATGTCTAGCATCGTTAGTCAACGTGAACTTTGCACATGAAACCTTTTGAGCGTAGCTACAGTTCATGTGCTCGAAGATCCCTTCAAGTCTTCTCAGCCATTCCTCAGCTGCGAAAGGGTCACCTTTACCATCAAAGGACGGGGGTTTAAAACGAAGAAACTGCTCAACGATCGAGCTCATGGTGTTAGCACCTCTTGTTGCATTACTAGGTGCCGCCTGAGCCTGCTCCCTGCCCAAGTCTTGCACTGCCCTCAATAAATCTCTGAATATAGTAGCTTGATCTTGTTGATGTCGTGCCATTTCCTTTAAGTGAAAGGTAATCTATCTTAAGAACTATTCAACCATGCTACATTCTTCCTATAGATCTTTCTAAGCCATGTCTGTCGTGTATATTATGCTAAGGCCAAAAGTTACGCATTAAGGTTTTAGTCATATGATAATCGTATCATTAATCGTATGATATGATTAATTGGCATTCTACTTTTGAATAAAATGATGCATAAGGAAAAGCTCATGAGATTATACAACTAATTAGCATGCATGAAAATATAAAAATATTCATCATCTTTGCATACCTTAAAAATATTGGACAGTGGCAGATTGATGAGCATTGGATTCCACGGATCTGGTAACTTATTATTGTTATGTATATAAATTTTGTAAAATGGATTTTTTTTTAAAAAAAATTCTAAAATGAAAGGATTTTCATAAAATTTGAAGTGGGTTTAAAACATTGTTTTCGTCTTATCGATTTGAATAACGCGCAACTAAAGAGGCTTCCAGGTGAGGAGGGGGGTCACATGGACCGCTTAAATCCCAAGCTCGCCTTAGACAGTTTAGGTCTTTTTGACAAAGCCTTTTAGTTTTACGAATACGCAAATCAAGAAAACTCGAACAATGAATTCCCCCTAAAAGATTAAATACGTATAGCCCCTTTTTTTTTGAAAAAAAATTGTTAATAACAACAATACGAAGGTAGAGTCAATCATGTGGTCATTTCATAAATTTACGCATAAAAAGTCCAAACAATCCTATTCTACATTTATTTTAATTTCAATCGAAGAACGAAGGCAGAAATTTTGGTGTTTGACATTTCATTATAGTAAATAAATCCTTATCCAAAATAAATTATAGTAAATGAGTAAACAAACAATCATGTCTAAGAATAAACAAATAAACACGTTTGGACAATTATAGGCACATAACCCCATTTTATATTACGTTAAACAAAATTTCACAAAATCCCATTTAACTTCACTATTCCCGCGTCACAGTGACTTACCTTTTTTTTATTTATTTATTATTATTCACAATATTATTTTATCTTTATTATTATTTTTAAAAAAATATATATAATCTCAACGTGGAAATTGGAAGAAGTAAAATTTACTTAAAATGAAATTCCTTACAATATCTAGGCAGCGAAAAACATTTCATGCATTCGAAACTATTCACATAAAACAACATTTTTTTTTGAAAATTTTAAGTCTACAGGATCGATTTTAGAACACTTAGCTCTGATACCATTCTGTAACGCCCCGAATTCTAATAACCCGAAACGTTACGAA